CCTTCTCGGATACCTAAATAGAAAGAGTTGAGAATGAAAGGCATAAAACGCATTCAGAGAATGCGATTTATGAGTAAATTTTCGTGTCTTCTTATTCGTTATTGAAATTACTATATTAACCCTTCCGTTTAATTTTATTTGTCCACTACTTTTAAAATATATTTATTTATTTCATTTATTACTTTTATAATATCAAGAAAAAATAAATATTTTATCTTTTAAAAAAACTTCATGTCGTTGAAAATTTGAAAAAACTCTACTCAAATACCAAAATAGAAAGAGCTGAGAATATAAGGCATAAAAAACATTCAGTGAATGCGATTTAGAGTAAAATTATGTGTCATCTTATTTATTTTTGAAATTACTATTTACCGCTTCCGTTTAATTTTCTTTGTCCACCATTTTTTAAATATATTTATTTATTTCATTTCTTACTTTTATAATATCAAGAAAGATCAATATTTTATCTTTTTAAAAAACGTCATTTCGTTGAAAACTTGAAAAACTCTTCTCAGATACCTAATTAATAGAAAGAGCTGAGAATGAAAAGCATGAAACGCATTCAGTGAATGCGATTTATGAGTAAAATTCTGTGTCTTCATATTTATTGTTGAAGATACTATATTAACCTTTACATTTAATTTTATTTGTCCGTTATTTTTAAAATATATTTATTTATTTCATTTATTACTTTTATAATATCAAGAAAAGATAAATATTTTATCTTTTAAAAAAAGTCATGTCGTTGAAAATTTGAAAAAATTCTTCTCAAATACCTAAATAGAAAGAGTTGGAAATATAAGGTATAAAACGCATTCAGCGAATGCGATTTATGAGTAAAATTATTTGTCTTCTTATTTATTGTTGAAATTACTATATTACCCCTTCCGTTAAATTTTATTTGTCCACTACTTTTAAAATATATTTATTTATTTCATTTATTACTTTTATAATATCAAGAAAAGATAAATATTTTATCTTTTAAAAAAAATATCATGTCGTTGAAAACTTGAAAAAACGCTTCTTAGATACCTAAATAGAAAGAGCTGAGATTATAAGGCATAAAATGCATTCAGCGAATGCGATTTATGAGTAAAACTTTGTGTTTAAGAAATTTATTATGCGATTTTATAATTTTTTTGATTTATTTGGTAAGATTGAATAAACAATTAGGGCTATTTTAATAGTTTTACAACTTATAGGATTCTTATGTTTATGAGAAAATATACAACACAAACATTCATAACGCATGTCCAAACAAAACTTCAATTTCATCTCAAGATTTCATATTATGATATCATATCACGATTCCTTGTCGCATGGCCAAACGAGCCCTATGTAGGAGTTTGGCCATGCGATACCATATCATGATATGAAATCGTGAGATGGATCAGCGTTTGAATATGGATTTCAAGTTGATTCCGTCTCATGATTTCGTATCATGGGTTGGAATACCATATTCTCCAAAAATCTTGATTTGAGAATTCCATATAATGATTTGGAATTTTTTAAAGGGTAAATTTCATATATGGCAAACTGATTTAATGAAATAACGCTTTATATATATAATAACACTCTATCTATCTATCTATCTATCAATATATATATATATATATATATATATATATATAGTTTATCTAATTACATTCTATGGGTATAGTTTAGTTTGCTATAGAGCATTTAATTTGTATATTACGTTTTTTGTTTATAATTTATATAATATATTTTTTTATTAAATATATACATGAGCTCTAAATAAGGTAACCGAAAATTTACATAATCTCATGATTCAAGCTAATAGTTTTAAATCAAATTTTTTTCTAAAAATTAGTTTTATAACGATACAAACACCATAACAACTGGTTTCCCCATAGCACTAAAGCAATATGACACGAAAAAAATTCTAGTTCATTAATATTCTTGTATATTCAACGCAGAAACATCATGTTTTGAACGGCAAAAAAGAATACGATTGATTTGTATAGTATATAATTGAAATTTTCAAAAACGAATTATCAACTTCTAATGGCTCGCAAGTATGTATATTTGTTTATACAAAAATAGAGAAATTGTATATTAACAATTATATTCTAACTGTTGGTTAGAAAAATCGAATGACACAATTTGTACAATTATATGCTTTACAAATATAAACTATTTTGTGTTTGTATATAATTATAAACTATATATGTATATGATTATATGAATACAATAATTAACTATACAAAAATTTACATATCGCATGTCCAAACAAAATAACTTTGTAATAATTTATTATGTGATTTTTAAAAACAATTGGAGTTATTTTAATAGTTTTACAACTTATGAGATTCTTACGTTTATGAGAAAATATACAACACAAAAATTTCATATCGCATGTCCAAACAAAATTTCAATTTCATCTCATGATTTCATATCGCATGATCAAACGGGCCCTTGTATGCCTATTTAATGACAATTGTGGAAAATTAGAATTTACTTTTATTTTAACAGTAATATTTATGAATCTAATGAAATAGTTAGTAAAACTTCATTTGATTTTCATGAATATAATCACGTTTTGGTAACTTCATTAACTTTGAGTTGCATGCCTAATATAACTAAGAATGAAATTTTTTATTATGACACAAGATGGAATAGCTATTTTTGCAGATAAAGGTATGTACATGAAAAAGGAAAATACAATTAGTGAAATGGTGGCTATGATTAATAATGAATAGTTATGATCATTTACTTCATGTTATTGGTATTCCTATTCAATTTGTGAGAAAAATTATCATTGTTGAAGTTAGTGTAGTGGATATTTATCAAGCGGGTTCAGCATATGAAGATGAAAATTCACAAAAAGGTTAATAAATTAATTTTTTTATTAATTAAAATTAAACTAATATATAATTATTATTCAATTAATATTTTTTTTATTAAATAAATAAATAATTTAAATATATTTTGCTTTACATAGAACAAAAAGTTAGTTTTGTGTGTTGTATTTTGCTCTACATAAAACAAAAGGTTAGTCAAAGATATAGTCATTATTAGACAAATCATTAGTTGAATAATGTATTTAAACTTTTTTATAATTGCATGGAGCATGAAATTCTACATTGATCCGAGACCACTAACCTAACAATTTTTATTTATAGTATTCATATGAAATTGTGCAATAAGTCATATCAAATAGTTAAATATGCAATTTGAATTCTTGTCTAATAAGCTGAGTTTTAGTTGAAGATTTTCTAAAGAATAAAAACCTAGCACGACACTTGAGTTATTCCATTCAAAGGAACATTATCGAAATTGATAATAATTTATAAAATAACACATCATTTTATTATCATCTTCGTCTCAAAATAAGTGTCATCTTATCGAGAATTATATTTATTAAAAACTAATAAGTATATTGTTTAATTTACTAAACTTTTCATATTTAATAAATATATCTGAAAATCGAACATTATTAAGATAACACTTATTTGAATGTATTTATTTATTTTACTAAAATGACATTTGTTTTATAACAAGGAACTAGAGAGTACTTTTTATTCACATAATATTGTTGTAAGTGTATCTTTAATTTCTTTATAAAATTATTTGTGACTGTGGACAAATGACACTAGATTGGTTCAACTATTATTAAATTGAATAATCTCATTTGAAATAGATGTTGCTTGAATTACTTATTTGTCGCATGTTATTAATTGATATTGACAATACCGTATTATTAGTCACATAAATAATGATTCTGTCCTTTTAATGCCATGGTGCATTTTTAAATAAGATATATTGATTATGTTGCTTTATTTTTTCTTAGATAACATGGTGATATATTATTTTTGTAGGTATACACACAAAATCTCTCATTTCTCGTACGCTTGAGGTGTCTCGTTAAGCAATATATAATTTTTATTACTTCTTGTGATAATTCAAATAAATAATTAACTTTATTTGTTGATCTTTCATGCATATTCATATGTTCACTGTATAGAATTTCACACGACACGAACCTTTTGCTATAACTTTAAACTAGGTCATGTTTATACCAATATTTTGTTTAGCCAAGTATATTATTCTTTCTTTCTAATTATAGGTTAAGTTTGTCGTAAAAAAATTATATAAAAGAGAAAGAAGAAATTTAAATAATTTTGTTATTTAGCAATAAATATTATCATTATACAAATAATAAAATTGTGCGACCATCATTTATGTACATAGAATTTCAATATCTGAAATACCAAAAAAAGATAAAATTGAAGTACATTTAAAGTCAAATATGATTTTCATGGATAGAAAGTTAACTTATTTCTTATTTTGGCTAAAATTTATGTCAATATAATATTAAATATTTTAATCTATCTTAACTTCAAATAATAATCCCTTTTCCAATTATAACCAAATATTTGTCCAAGTTGTAACTACTTAAAACTATATCCAAGGATCTTGTAGTGAAAATGACAAAAAGGTCCATTATCTTTGTAGTAGATTTAAAATAGTCCTTTGAAATCAATTGAATAGTACTTTTCATCCTTTAAATTTGTCATAAATAAATATTTTTGATCTCCATCAATTATTTATCAAATTTCAATTGTTAAATTTATCCAAAACTATATTAAAAAAATGAAGCCAAATTTCTTGATACAAAAATAACATAAATTGCACTTCAAAAAAATTACACCGAACTCTTAAAATAGATCAAAAATAGCATAAGTTACAAAATTTGCCATTTAATTTCTATAATTCTTGTTGAGTTTAACAAGCAGAACCATATTTGACAAACATAAAAGATTTGGGGAAAATTTGAAATTATAACGAAATTGAAGTCACCTGGTTGGTAGCAAAAGCAAGCAGACAGACAATAAATCGCAAATAATAATTTTGGATTTTTTTTTGTGTGTTTTGCTTATCCCAATGAAGTATACTTTGGAGGACCCATCTGTGTGATTTTTGTGGTTGATGACACTTCAAGCGTGCGAAGGAGGTGGGTACTTATATGAAGCTCAATTTCTGACCTTATCCCTCTTCCCAACTGCTGCCAAATTGGCGAATTTTCGATTCTTGATCTGATCGAACAAACCCCTTTTCGAAAAAATTGAATCTTGAATTGCCCCTTTAGTTGTGATTCGAAGAAAAAACTGTTTGGGGGGCAATTCAATCTTGAATTTAGGTTATTGGGGTTGTTGAGTTTGCTTATTTGGAGTTATACCCACTGGCCATGCGACTGTGGTTTTGTGCGATCGCCCTCTCAAGAGAGGACCCTAAGAAACAAGGTCGAGTCTTTGATATCTCTGCAGCTGTTTTCTTTAGATTTAGCAATGGTTGCTGATACTACTCATGGACCTACTCCCAAAGGGGTACTTTGTAATGCTGGTGCTGGTGCCGCTGCTGGTAAGATTTTTATAAGGTTTTTTTTTTTTTACACTTTCTAAGGAAGAATTATCACCCCCTTTTCCCCCTTTTATCTATATGCTTAAACGTATATATGGACATGATCTAAGGGTTTGCTCTGATTTGGGAAATTAATATGTTGCAGGAGTAATTGCTGCTACATTTGTGTGCCCTTTAGATGTTATTAAGACTAGGTTGCAGGTTCATGGGCTGCCGAAGCTAGGAAATGCTAACGTTAGAGGTAATGCCTTATTCTATTTCCATTGATTTGTCGAAATGATTCTTGATGTTGTTAGGGTTCTTATTTCTCCCACTAAGCTGCTTTTTATTTGATTGTGCTGTCTACATGCCACACACTATTCGGATTTTTAACCCACTACTTCGCGGCAATAGGTGTAGATTCAGTATAAGTATATATTTTACCAAATGGTTCTAGTACTATGTAGTTTGATGGACCACTGACACTTACTCATGCATGCTTATATTGGGACTGATAATTATCTATCATCAAGTTACACTTGAACATATGAAAAAATGAACCGAGAAGCAAAAATTTACATGGTGAATATATCAGCGGTAGCTGATTTTGTTTCTTCTTCTAATCAGGTAGTCTTATTGTTGGGAATTTGGAGCATATATTTCAAAAAGAGGGGTTGCGTGGAATGTACAGAGGGCTTTCCCCAACAGTGCTAGCATTACTTCCAAACTGGGCGGTGAGTCAGATTATTTTACAATTCTAACTTTAGCATCACACTGACTTCTGGTTATGTAGTCTCTTTATTCTTTTATCTGGATAGATCAAAGGCTGTTTACAACGTGGCTCGTGCTAGAGAATCTGGTTGTTATAGATAGCTACAAGGATAATCGTTACCTTATTAGTTTTTTTTAATGGATAGCTACAAGGATGGGGCAGTTTGTGAAGATGAAATATAGAACCTAATGGAAATTACTAGCTTTTGTTCCATCTCCTTGTTGCTAATGTAGACTAACTTTTTCTCTTAGCTTCTGCACGTTAACTTCTTGTTGTTATTTCTTGTAGTAATTAGTTGATAAGGGAGTAAAGTTTACTGGACTCCGATTATCCTGTTCTTAGGTCATAATCGTCCTGTTCCAAGTTCATGCTTGGTGTGCTTGCCTGTTTTTGCCAACACATTTAAATCATGTCATTCTGCAATAATCCTCACTTCCAAAAAAGAAGAAAAAGATGCTTACATGTAATTGATAAGTTAATAATTTATCTATGTGCACGCACTTGGGCATGAGCTGCATGACTATATACCCAGTCTATTGTCTTTAGTCTTTACCTTCTTTTTACTGTCTGTAGTTGGTGTCAACAAGTAAGAAAACTTATTTGAGCATCTTTGGTTGTGGTGAATGATTCCAGTGAAATCGGGATGCAGATCTCCGCCATATCTTGTTCTCCTGTGTCACTTATTTGGTTAATCCATGACTTGACGTCCTTTTCTTCTTGTTGAAGTCCAACCTCCTGAATTTGTTGTAAAAAATCTGTTTTTTATTTGACTTCTTGTCTGCTGTTTCTCAGCTGAAGCCTTTCATCTAATTCTGGTGACAACCTCTATTTTCTGAACCTTAGAAAAAAGTGAATGGATATAGTATAGCCGAGCATACTAATTTCTGATTGAGGTGTAGTTGATTGATTGTGTGATCAAACATTTCACTTGCCATTTTCACCTTTGCATTTTGTTCTGTAATTTCTCCTTCTTCCTTCTGCCACAGAATATATATTTTTATACATAAATCACAGTTAACCTGGTAATCAAAACCAAATTCACTTGTCATCCCAGGTAACTTAAGATGTATTTTCCAAATCCCTTCCACTGGCTGTGTGCATGCTGGTGGTGGTATGTTTGTTCATAGAGTATTTGCTGTGTAATGTAGAGCCAGATTATTGCATACTCTAGGTAGGATGAAGCTGAACTAAATCCACAAGTAGTAGCATCGAGCTCAGTTTTACCTATATCTGCATCCAAAAAGGAAGCAGACCTATACGGGCTAGGTACTACCAACATGGGTCTCAGTAAGTCTCAATGACTACCCCTAGAAGGCGGAGTAAGACATGTTGAGGAAAACGTGACATGCAGAAAAGATAATAATGTGTTGATCATAGCTTAATATTGGATTGTTACTGCAACTGAAAACCTGCTATACTAGTCAGCTGATAAGCTGATTACTGATAAATTGAGAGTCTAAATGTATACTAAAAGCTGATATTTGAATCCACTTTGAAAAATGATTTAACTGATGATAAACGTTTTTTTGAAAAAGTTTCAACCAGTGTGTAGGGAACTGTTGTAAACGGGGAGTCCACATTTGAAGGACATTATACCTAAGTCGTACTATCAGGACCTCAATTTGTTTTTTCTGCTTATCATATCAGAGGTTATGTTCTCTTTTGCACTTCTTTTGGGCTACTGGTCACTCTTTTTTTGGCACCTACCGTAAAGATTGACCTATCTCCCACCAAAAAAGGTAGCAATGGCCTGCGTGTATGAAACTATCATCATACACAGGGGAGTGTCAGTTTGTATCCCACCACAACCTTGGCCTTTTGGCACTCACACCCAGGGAGGTCGACTCGCTTCCTGTCCTAGTTTGATCTACAAGCTAAGGTAAAATTGAGACTAACTTGCAGCGGGATTTTTTGTTAAAATTCATGCTCCCTGCATGTTTGATAAAAGGTTTAAAAGATTTTTTGAGGTTAAGTGCTTGTGGTGGCAAGCGAGTGCCCAACTCTTCATACCAAAGAGAAAAATAATTAAACTTAGATATTCCTTTAAGATTTCTAAATGCTATATGTACATACATATGCTACTTAATTCAGATTTCAGATAAGCAACTAAACCTCAGATTATGTTTGATGTGAAAAACTTGGATTGCTTTAAAAGATCCCTGGCAATTTTGACATTTGTTAAAGTGTATACAGATTGGAAAATTTAATTTCAAAGTCCCGAGACAGTGTTAAGGTCAATGTGAGGAATGGTTTGAGATTGAACTTGAAGAGTGAATTATCAAAAGAGTGCTAAAATTAAACTTGAAAGACAAGATAAATATAAAGGCAAAGTGTCCACACTCCTCTTGTCACAATTATGGCTCGTTTAATGTTCAAGGTTGAATGTTATTTTAAATGGAAGAGCATGTAATAGCGTAACTATTTTTTGAGGCATTTTTGGACACAAAAAAGTGAAATAGAAAGATAAAGAGTTAAAATAGGATAATTTAGTCCAAAAAATAAGGGAAAAAAGAAGTCAAGGACGCAATAGGCTGAAGCTCATCAAGTACGCTTCCTATGCTTCAAAAGAGAGTTTTATGAAATGCACAAATAGCTTCAAGTGAAGCCAGGGAATAGTGACTGGAATGGAGGAAACTAGGAAACAAAAGAAAATGGAAGAAAATTTTCAGCCAATGACCTAGCACCTCAAGGTCATTTTTTGTATGACAACACCTCAAAGTCATTATTTATGGTTATTCACAAGTTGATATTAACACTTTAATGCATGTATTAATACCCCAATTCATGGAACTTCACAGATTTTACATTGAATCAATAAAGAACACGCAGTTATTGATTTTCAAAATTTGAACCTTTTAAGGTAATTCCATCGACTCTACTTCATTGATGATGTATATTTATGAAGGTTGACGACATTTGTGCCATTAATGGCCGTGGAGAGGTTGAAATAGATAAACCTTAAGTTTCACCATTAATGAAGTTTGTTGGAGTAATGAGAAAGACAATGGAACACTTAATTGGGTATTTGATTATTATGAATTGGCGTCAAGGGTGGATCCAAGTTGGGGGCAAAGGGGGTTATTCGAAACCCTTCATTGGAAAATTACACAATATATATAAGATTTTTTATGTATTCATTATCTATTATATATATAAAAAAACTTATATATTTTTCTTAGTTTAAAAAAATATAGCTTTTTTAAAATTATATATAATAGATGTTGAATCCCCTTGGTTTCTTCGCGTGTTTACTTCTTCATATATTGAATTCCTTGGCGAAAATTTTGTCTCCGCCATTGCGCGGCGTGATGTTAATAATAATTTTAAACGTGTCATATACTGGATTTAGGATGGATGGAACTACCCTTAAAATAATAAATTTTTAAATAGAAAAGTACACCTTTGCCAAATAATTGGGACCCAACAAGGATAAAATGTTGATAGTGTCATCAAATATTTGTCAAATAAAGAAATGTTTCATTCTTTATAGGACAAACTAAAAGGAAAGTGTGTCATATAAATTGGGACAAAGAGAGTAATAGTAAAGAAAGTGAAAGCAAAATAGTACAAATTTTGAAAATGAAACTAGAGATATGTCATTGACTCACTGTACAATGCTCCCCCATGTACGATGACAGTTCCATACACGCAGGACCATTGTTTAAAACTTTTTCCATGGGAGATATATCAACACTCCTCGTGTATTATGACAGTTCCAAACACACAAGCTATTGCTTGAAACTTTTTCAGAAAGCATGTTTGAGGAAGCATGAATTTTAACAAAAATCCCAACTAGGATATTAGCCTTAACTTACCTACTTGTATCTTAAACTAAGGTTCACACGCCTTTTAAGCCATTCTTGATTCACAAATGCAATCTACAACACACTAACTCGATTCAGTCCATAATCTAGTAACACATGAATTCAACTTAGCTAATTTAATCGATTAGGTTCCACCCATCCTAATACTTGTATTTAATGGATTTAAAACTATCATTAACGTCATACCAAATCATGATAATCAACACCCATTTTTCAAGTATTCTATCATCTTCCCCATTCTTCCGACAAACTTCATTAATGGTAGAATTTAGGGTTTATCTATTTCAACCTCTCTACCACAAATCTTATCTACAATCATTAATGGAGTAGAGTTGGTGGAATTATTTCAATCGGTTCTAATCTTGAATGTCAATAATTGTGTATTCTTGATTGGTAGGATTGAAGTGTTAAAATTAAAATTTATAAATACTTACCTTAAGGTGGCTAGGTGATTGGGTCGAAAATTTTCTTCTATTCTCTATTTTCTCAGTTCTGATCCTTGTTTGCTGGCTTCACTTGAAGGGTGAAGCTACTTACAACAACAACAACATACCCAGTGGAATCCCACAAAGTGGAGTCTGGGGAGGGTAAAGTGTACGCAGACCTTACCACTACCTCGTGGAGGTAGAGAGGCTATTTCCGGAGGACCCTCGGCTCAAGTACATCCAAACCAAGTAAGAGAAGAGGAAACATTATATAAAACATAACATCCAATAAGAAAAATAGTGCATAATCAACAACAGAGACAATAACATCAAGAAAATACTGTGAGAGGCGAAGCGCAGTAAACAACATATGACTATAGGATCACAGACAAGAACTACAAGTGCCAGGCTAGGACTACTACATACACTACCAACCCATACCCTCGCAAGGAAAGACAACACGCTAACCCTACTAATCTTCAACCTTAATACGTGACCTCCACTCCTTCCTATCTAGAGTCAAGTCCTCGGTGATGTGAAGCTGAACCAAGTCCTGTCTAATCACCTCTCCCCAATACTTCCTAGGCCTACCTCTACCCCTCCGCGTACCCTCTACCACCAGCCCCTCGCACCTCCTCACTGGGGCGTCTGCGCACCGTCTCTTCACATGCCCAAACCATCTCAGTCTCGCTTCCCTCAGCTTGTCCACCACAGGGGCCACTCCCACCTTCTCCCGGATAACCTCATTCCTAATCTTATCGCTCCTAGTGTGCCCACACATCCATCTCAACATCCTTATCTCCGCAACATGCATTTTTTGAACATGTGAGTTCTTGACTGGCCAACACTCCGCTCTATACAACAAGGCCGGTCTAACTACCACTCTGTAGAACTTACCTTTAAGTTTAGGTGGAACTTTCTTATCACACAAGACTCCAGAAGTAAGCCTCCATTTCATCCAAGCAGCCCCTATGCGATGTGTGACATCATCGTCAATGTCACCACTTCCTTGGATTACAGCTCCAAGATACTTAAAACTTTCTTTCTTAGGAATGATCTGTGTGTCAAGTCTCACTTCCCCATCTGCCTCATCCAACGCATCACTGATTTGCACCCCAAATATTCCGTTTTGGTCCTACTCAACCTGAACCCTTTGGACTCCAGCGTTTGTCTCCACACCTCCAGCCTCGCATTAACTCTGTCCCGCGTCTCATCGATCAGTACTATGTCATCGGCAAATAACATACACCATGGGACCTTCTCCTGAATAGACCGCGTCAACTCATCCATCACCAAAGCAAATAGAAAAGGGCTAAGGACTGATCCCTGATGCAGCCCCATCTCAACTGGGAAATGATCCGAGTCTCCTCCAACCGTTCTAACCCGAGTCTTGGCTCCACCGTACATGTCCTTTATCGCCCTAATATAAATCATCGGGACACCTTTAGCCTCCAAGCACCTCCAGAGGACATTCCTCGGTACTTTGTCATAGGCCTTTTCAAGGTCAATGAACACCATATGTAGGTCTCTCTTCCTTTCTCTATATTTTTCTACCATTCTTCGCATAAGATGAATGGCTTCGGTAGTCGATCGTCCCGGCATGAATCCAAATTGGTTCTCAGCAATGGACACCCCTCTTCTCACCCTCATCTCCACCGCTCTTTCCCAAATCTTCATAGTATGGCTTAGCAGTTTGATACCCCTGTAGTTGTTACAGTTTTGGATATAAAGGGTGAAGCTACTTGTGTTACATAAAGCTTTCTTTTAAAGTATATAGCAGTGTTCTTAAAGGCGAGCGCCTCTCGTCTTTGGCGACAAGGCGAGGCGAGGCGAGGGGTTTGCGCCTATTTCAGGCAAGGCGTGGCGAGATCAAAAAGGCGAGCCAAGGCGAGGGGTGACGTGGAATTGGCGATGCAATAGGCGTCGCCTTTTTCTTTTTTTTTTTTAGAAGTCTGAATTTTAATAATTAAAAAGCCAAATAATCAAATTAGGGTTTTTTTTGGGTATTTTTTCAAACTTATGACGCGACTGCTGCTCCTCATTTCGCGACCGGAGACTTGAAATCAATCCCTCGACTGGAATTAGAGTTCGCGACTGCTGCTGCTGCGATTGGAAACTTGATGTCGACTGTCGCGACTGCTGCTGCTGCGAGTTCGCGTCTGCTGCTGCTGCTCAGCTTGAAAAAGTACAGAGAAGAAGAAGAGGAGGAGTTTTTTCTTGAAAAGTACAGTAAAGTACAGAGAAGAAGAGAGAAGAAGAAGAGGAGGAGTTTTTTCTTGAAAAGTAAAGGAAGTACAGCTTTTTTAGTATCTTTTTTCAAAAAGTAGAGTCTTTTCAACTTTTCTTGAAAAAGAAAACTAGAGACAAAGAGTTTCTCTAGATAAGTGTGTCCTTTTTTATTTATAAAATAAATTATACTTTTAATATTTATTATATTTTCTCTCTTCTTTAACAATTATACTCCTCTTATTTTGTATGTAATTATATCAAAATATGCAATTCATTATTATATATATTTCATAAATATTTTTAGTAATATTTTATTATATATATATATATATCACTTATTTGGTATTAATTGGCGCCTCGATTCAAAAAGGCGAGCGCCTCGCCGCTCGCCTCGCCGCGTGGCGAGGCAGGCCCTTGTCGCCTTTTGTCGCCTCTCGCCGTCCAAAACACTGGTATATAGGTTGTGTAATTGCGTTTGTCATAAAAAAATACAGGTTGTGTAATTGCTGAACTTCATCCCATTGCATCCTTCTCATTTTCTGGACCAAATTCTCTTTTTCAACTCTTTTACTTTCAATTTCCTTTTCTCTTCTTTTCTTTGTGTCCAAAAATGCCTCAAAAAAATGATTGGGCTGCTACATATCTGTAAGTTCCATGCTTCACTTTGGTGAAAGTAAATGAAGCCCGTCTCACTTAGCAACTATGGAGAAAAGGTATGCAGAGCAGTAGAAACCATGAGTGTGTGTAAGGAGATGAAGCCAATAAGCACATCTGCTCGCAGTGCCTGTTTGCAACTCTACTGTGTAACCTGTTTTTAGACAATTTTGGGAAGACATGGATAATATGAAAGATCATCAAATAGGTATTTTGGGCCTGGATAGGGTATGAGATGAAAAAGGAACTAACGAAGATTTGTAGAAACATTCCATGCGTTGATGTGGAAAGGGAGGAACTAATGATGCTTCGAGGGTAAAGCGACATCTTGCTGTTTTAGTCTAAAACATATTAGTTTGTCAATGTTCTGGTGAACTTTGCAGAATGTCTATGAAGAGGATACAGTGATATATTTCAATAGTTCATTTTAAACTTGAACAGACTATGTTAGTGGGAGAGAGCGATTTGCACGTCAGTATTGGTGCAGGCCTCCACCAGAATTTCCTCTGACATCGCCCTGCTTAGGCATAGTTGTATCTAACACTATCTTAGTTCTTGGCTTTGTTATAAGTAAATTTTTTGCTTACTTATAAGTGAAGTTCTCTAGAAGATTCATATTGCCGATCCTAACTATCTTGGGTTGATTGACTGATCGATTTACTTACAAAAGCACAGGCCGTACCAATATCTAGTATAAATTAAGTGCATTATTCTTCTGGTTCTACAGCCTATCTAAAAGGACATTGTTTTTCTCTAAAATATCACTGTTAAATGCTACTTACACTTGAGTCCCAGAAATTAGACTTAAGTTGCAAAAAACAGTGGAGAGCCGTTGAAGTACGGTGGGGGGGGGGGGGGGAGTAGGAAAAAAGGATCAAATTGTTTTCACAGAAAGGTAACTTTCTAAGAAATGAGATGGTAGTTTTGTCATTTCAGATTCTTTTGCTTCTAGTCATAATCTTTGTCCCATTTATTTTTGTTCGTATGGGAAAATGGTTTAGGTAAGCTAATTCGAACACTCTCGCAATGCGTCTGAATCTCCTGAGTTCTATCTAGTTCCAATGAAAAGATCTTTCTGAAAGTTTTCCTGTATCCCTTGCATATCAGCATATCATTTAGTCAACTACTCAACTCTTAAGTGTTGCCGCAGATGGTGACAAAGGGAGGCTTACAGTTAGTCAGTTACTATTTCTCTTCCTCTAATTAAAATTGAAGTTCTGTGCTCAATTCCTATTACAGTATCGTGTATATGCACTTAGTTATAAAGATTTGATCACGACTTCCTCAATTTGATAGAGAAGTAATTAAGTTTATATAAAGAGTGATCTCACACATATTTTCCTTTTCTGCAGGTGTATTTTACTATATATGATCAGCTGAAAAGATTTCTTGGCTCTGATGGTCAGTAGATGACCTTTCCTCAAAGATGTTATTCCATTGATTGATTAGCTTTCCAAATTAATTTTTGATAAACTACATTGCACTTAGTCATAAATACTTTCCATTTGGTGGTTGTTGTAGATGGAAGTCATCAACTCACCATAGGTGCAAACATGTTAGCTGCTTCTGGTGCCGGAGCTGCAACTACAATTGCAACAAATCCTCTCTGGGTTGTGAAGACACGTCTTCAGGTGTGTTTCATGAATCCAAATTTTAATATTTAGCTTGATTTGTAATTCTCCCGATCCTATATGGTCCCATTCCTTCCATTTCAGAAAAAAATATTTAGCTTGGGGAAAGAGCTAAAGATGTTGGTAATAATCCTTTTAAACGAAAGTTGGGTCAGACATTAGAGCTATTGACTTTGTGGTATGGAGAGAAACAATATGTTGTCAAAAACTACAAATAATAAAGCAGCTGGAAGGGCCTTCTGGTTTCTTATATGACTATAGAATTGGTCGGGGGGGGGGGGGGGTTGGAGAAAGACATGTACCATGTGACTTTCCAGTATCTTACAAGAGGAAAATGGAAAGTTGAAGAGTTCTCTCACAAGAAAGTGTAAGTGTGTTCTATATCTCCTTGTTTTCAAGTAACCAACTGAAAGAGAGGGAGTGTGATTTTAGCTTTTATGGCACACTTTTTTAACCATGTGATCTGACAAAGTGATTAGGTGGCCAGGCCTGCAGAAAAGTTCCTCAAGGTGGTACTTCTATATATATATACCCTAAGAGTTGTACGCCTAATAATGCCATTGTGCCTTTGCATCTTAGGGGTGGCTTTTACACGCTTGTCACTGGCTAAAAGCAGAGTAGATGGATGCAATAAAATGTTGTTCTATCTCAGTAGGGATCTAATTGCTTTAGGTCCATTCCAGTTCCGTATTCTACTTTTGGGCATTTCTTAGAATTTGATCTCATGGTCTATACTTTCGTATCTGCTTCTGAATGGTTGTGATCCACTTTTTTTTTTTGTTTTTTAACTATTAAAGTTTCCCAAGTTTGATTGGTGTGTGCATGATGTGTGTGTACTTTGATTTTTGTAAGATTTGTTAATTGAGTTCTAAGTCAGCCTAATTGTCACTGTTCTTTTGTGGTTTAATAGGCATTTGGACAATACTTGAGTTGAAGTTGAAATTGATTAAGAAGTGCGAGATTTGAACTTCAATGAAAAAGAATTTTGTGAAAGTTAGAGATCCGTGAGTGAAATATTTCAATTGAAAACACATTAAAACCAAATCTCTGTTTCAATATTTTACTTGTAGTTCAAATAGTGAAAATATTACTTCATGCCCAAATGGGTCTTTTTAGTTCTAAGCAGGCTACTTTTGAGGGTGTTCACAGGAGGACAGGTTAGGCATTCAGGGGGGGACTATTGCTAGCCAAGCTGACTTCTCACCTGCTTGGCCCAGCCACATTTTCATGCCCAAGTTGGAGAGCTTATATTAATAAGTATAACAATCCATGTTCAATTTCTATTAAGTTGTGGGGAAATATGTAGCTAATGTAGTGGTGAGAATTGTTACACCATTTAATTGATTAATTAATATCTATGCACTTCTGGTGTAAAAAATTATGGTAAAGAATATGTTTTTAGCTGGACCAGTACTGTCAAATCACAGATGTCATTTAGTTATGCCATTTAATAATGGTTAAAGATGTGTTTACCAAAGATATGCTTCTAAATGCACTCCACCAAACAAAGCATTAATTATATTCTCACCCTTACTCGTTTGTCTTAAACTTCTGTAGACGCAAGGAATGAGAACAGGGTTTGAACCTTACAGGGGTACATTATCTGCTTTAAGGAGAATAGCGTATGAAGAGGGTATTCGTGGGTTGTACAGGTCAGTGTTCGTCTTTTCAAGAAATTTGTCGCTCTTAATGTTTCAAATTGCTTGTCTACCAGTTTTTGCTGACTTAAATTGCTTTGTGGTAAACAGCGGTCTGGTGCCTGCTTTGGCTGGTGTTAGTCATGTAGCTATCCAATTTCCGACTTATGAGAAAATTAAGATTTACTTGGCCAAGCGAGGTGATTACTCATGTCCGGTCATAATGTTTCCTTTCACTTCTAGTTAGTTCAGTATCTTTAGATTTGTTTTCCCACCTCTTGGAAAGGATGACATCGTTTCTGAATGTGCTGGCTTGTTGTGATGATGTCAGCTAACACTTCAACGGATAAACTTGGGGCCCCTGATGTTGCCGTTGCATCATCAGTCTCCAAAATATTTGCTTCTACATTGACATATCCACATGAGGTATGTTATTACGTTGGTTGCGTTGTTAATTTACTTTAAATGGTTAACTGAAACATAAAGTGGTATACCCTATGACGTCTTGGTCCACAATTTTACAGAAATATTGCAAGTCAAGTTCTTCCTACCTCTTTTTTTGTTTTTATTGGGATATTTAGGGGACCTGTGTTCTCACATTGTTGTCCTTCTCTGTTGGATCAATTTATGGTTGAATCACTTCAATAGATTTTGCATGTGTTCGGAAAGCTTAGGGAATCGAGTGTATGACAAGCATACAGTCACCAAATCATTCTTTGGATTTTTCGTTGTAGGTTGTACGTTCAAGGCTTCAAGAACAGGGGCGCCATTCTGAAAAACGGTACTCTGGTGTAGTTGACTGCATTAAGAAAGTCTTTCATCAAGAAGGCATGACAGGCTTTTACCGTGGTTGTGCAACCAACCTAATCCGGACTACCCCTGCAGCTGTTATCACATTTACCAGTTTTGAGATGATTCACCGCTTCCTTGTAACCATGTTCCCCCCTGATCCTCATCCTCACACATTGTAGGATGGCACAATGACTTGGGGATTGATTCATCATAGTAGAGGCAGTTTAGTTCATCAAGTCCTCGAGCAAGGCGACTGATTCGTCTGCATCAATCTCCTCATCGGTTGTGTATCTTTTTTCTTATTAGCTGTCATAGCAACATAGAAAAACCATTTTGGCCATTGTGAAACAGATTTAGTATACCATTTATATACTGAAATTGATGATGATGATAAAAGGAGCTGAAATGTAGGAAGACTAGAAACTATACTGAGGTTTGAGAAATTGAATATTAGTCGAACTTTTGAGGCATTTACTCTTTGGGCTTTCCAGCTTATATATCAGTCTAGTAAGTATTCCTTCATCCTTACCAGTTGTGGTCGTCTGGTTGAAGACAACAAGAAAGGATAAGAACATAATAAAGAAAAATTGAACTGAAAAAAGATGTATGCAGAATATATTATTTGCACATTTTTGTCATCATTTCGAAAGAGTTTAAATTATATACATCGTCAACTGTCAACTGATGGCTAGTTTCATATTATGAAGTGCTGGCCTTGAGAAGTGAGAAATGGGATGAGAACATGTCTCAGGACTTTCTAAAAGCAAGAGGAATCAACCTTTTTGGAAAAGGAAAAACTATATCTCAAGGAACAAAATATCTCTGATATTTAAATAACTGTTAGCATCAAAGGAACCCCAATAGATGATTGGCTGCCAGGTGCAAAGTCACATTATTCTTGAAATATCTTTCAACTTTCTATGAAATGTCAGTTTTATTTACATTTGAAAAAGGCATATAAGAAAGCAAATTTACAAGGTCAAAGCAGAATCTATGTCCAATGTAAATTCAGACATCAAATTAGTAACTATAGAGTATATGACTCTAGATAGGAGGTATAGTTCCTGGCGAGGATTAGGGTAGAAGGTCAATAGGTAATTGATTGTTGTTTAGTTTTTCCTACTACTAGGACATGACCCTAGATAAGAGAGTATGAAGGACGAGAGATAGGGTAGAAGGTTAATAGGTATTTCTGTATCTGAGCGTTGTCTAGTTTTCCCTACAATTATCTTATTCTTCTATTTTATTACATGTTGTTTTCTTTGCTTCATTTACATCTTGTTTGTCGTTTTGCTACTGTTCTTCTCTTTTATCTCTAGCATGATTTATATATTATTGTATTTTCTTTCCATATTTGAGTTTGATATGTTTTACTTGTGTCGATAGTTTATCAAAAATAACCTCTCTACCGTCACAATAAATAAATTGGATAAGACTCCATACATACCACCCTTCCCACACCCCATTTGTAATTACACAAGAATTGTTGTTGTTGTTGTATATAATATAAAATAGAAGTAGGATTAATCTTGCTTTCTTCTAAAGTTGGGTATCCTAGAATAGAGATGATCTTTTTTTTTCAACTTCACCAAATTGTAGTTGAGATAGTTCATCTTTTGCTTTAAGTTTTATTATCCAACTTTCTTCATTTTTGCCCCTAACAAAACACCCTTTGTTTAGTCAAACAATTTTTCATTTGTTCCAAGAAAATAATCCCTTGATGGATTAAAAAAAGAAGCATTTTATACTATTACTAGTTACATTGCTTTCTGTCATTTCACCACCATGTAATAGAGTATGCTATAGGCAAGGCTACACATACATTGTAATTGAATATTTATAATGTAGGAAGCACACACACATATATATAGAATTAAGTTGTTATATAGTAGCAAAAATGGAATTCAATTATATTCTTAACCTATTGAATTAAAATCATGGATCAACGAATGCTCAGCCTTGTGAGGATGGAGTCTCATGTATGATTCTGATAAAAGAATAAAGTTTCTGATGAATTCCGCTTTTCGGGGGATCAATTTTGTACATAACCTAATAATATCATGAAGGTTTTGGATTCTTTCAACAATTATTAGTAGTAAATTTTTGGCCATGATAAGTCATTGTAATACCTCTATGATTTAAAGAAAAAGAAGGATAATGTGGGGAATTGCTTTCCACACTCCTCATGAAGTCTGGTCGGTGGGCAAATTAAAGTAAGAAATAATAACAAAAGTGAGGGGGAAAAATGTTAGGAGTGCTATGGCTTTCATGATATTATTGGAAAATGGACCATTTTACCCTTATGATTTTTTTTTATAATCATACCATAACATAGTTAATTAAGGAAATTCAATAAGTTAGAAATGACTATAAGATAAACAAAACTTTGATTAGTGATACTAAGAATTGACTTGTGACCTCTTTACAATGTGTACACACAAAAAAAGATGTATTGAGTTTATTAGAGAATATTACAATACTAATTAGTCTTAAGTATAGATTAGTTTAATTATATTTTCACTGCTAATCACATTCACTTTTTGTGTCTTAACTTTTGCTCTGGCATTTCCATAAGTTGGGCCAACTCCAAAGCAAAGCATTACTATGATGGGAAAGCTCTATATTACTAACACTTCCTTTTGTCTATCTTAAGGTATGAATAATATTTTCCTTCCATTTAATTGCTACAACTTGTGTCACAAGTTTGATGACAAGCTTGATAGCTTGTTCTATAAATCTTATTAAACACAAATATTAGACGATTACTCCTTATCTGTTCGAGTGTGATAGACAAAGTTATCAGATATCTATGCCGACGTGAGGTACTGATGAGATAGTAGGTATCTCATGAAATTAGTCAGGGTGCATAACGTGACCCGGACATCATAGCTATAATGACTTTTTGTTTTTTGTGGGAGTTTTATCATGATTTATTATTATTAGTCTAAAAGTAAAAATAAAATAAAAATAAAATAAAAGATAATGTGAGTGGTTAGAGGAGGGGGGAAATAATTATATGGTTAAGAGATAAGAGAGCATAATCCACCAGCAGATTTGACAGAAGCATATAATTAGTATTGAATTATATAAGCCAAATTATGATTTATAATTAGTTGATTCACTTTTAGGGCACCAATGAAAGACCTTGAGGGTGGGTGGGGGTGGGGAGATAATTTTCTTCAAAAAAAATTTAGAACTAATAAATATAACAAGTTTTTATTTTAATTTTCAAGTTATCATATCACATCTATTGTAATTTTTTACTACTTATTATTATGGATTGACAGATTCACCAAAAAATTTATAACAATATCATGAAAAATTGGTTAATAGAGAACTTGAACAGTATAGTAAAATATTATTATAGATTAAAATGGAAATTACAGAAAAATCTAATTATGCGCGGAACTTAGTTGGAGAGTTTTAATTATTTTCAAATTAACTCCCGTGATTGCTTAAATGTGAGAAGTATAAATGCCATCAGAAGTCATTGTTATTCAGCCCGTGAGGCTTTAAAGACTATAAATAATAAAATGAGGGGGTTGGTAAAATTACATTTTAATTATTTTAGTATTTATTTTTTATTAATAATATATATTAGTTGTGAATCTTGTGATATAGATAATGTATAGTTAATTTTGGGTGGAAACCACTCCTTATTTATTTTTTTCATGGTCAATTTTAGCTCATGTATACTCCAAAAATATTCCTAATAATAGCTATACATATATGAAAATAATATTAATGCGCATAAACTAATCAAAGAAGGCTCATAATACCTACTATTCCAAAAAAGAATTTATTAATATTTAATATGTATCTCATGGATTTATTAACAAATTAAATCTGCACATTATTATGAATATTATCATACAGATAGCCTGAACATGACATAAAAATATTAATCACTAACGGTATTATTATATGGCCAACATTCATTGATTTTAGTACTTTATGGCTCGAGTGAAACCACCATTATAATATATAAATAGTTTATTTCCTATATTTGTAAGAGAATTTTGATTCTAAGCAATATAACAACATTATATCTATATTCCTGAGCTCCAAGTTTTCATTTTTCATCAAGTCTTTATCACATAGCATTCGTTACATATAATCATTATCGAATCTAAAGATAACATAACTAGACTCACTGTTCACAACTTCATCGAAATCTAAAGCTTCATCCGATTCTCTTTCTTACTTGCCTTATTCATTATTTTTATTTATTAATATCACAATATTCAATTATTAATAATTAAATCTAACGAGTTAAGTCAAGACATGCATCTTTGACCTCATACAAATTTAACTTATTATTTTTCCGATAAATAAAATTAACTTTGGTTTTGCCTTTTTTTTAAAAAAAATATTATTTTTGTTTAATAAGTTTTGGCCTTAAATCCAAAATCTACTGGGGTGGGGGTTGGGAGGGGGTAAGGGGTTGTAGGTCAAGTGTACTTTTCTAGATTCTAATTTAACGCCCCTACAAACGCGTGAGCACCACATCTCAAGTTACATGTGTACCTATCTCCTAACCTACTAGCTTCGGTTCCGAGCCACTTATTTGAATTTTCGAACGTTAGCTAAAAACTGGTATGCCTTTATTGGCTTTATTATTATTTTATTATTAACACAATTTTTTATTAATAAAATTTTCCAATAATCATAGAGAACAGAAATACACATCTCCAACTGGCTAATCAAATTACGAGTTTTTACCTTTTTTAAAAAAATACTATCAAATCATCTAAATAATAACTGTTTGTAAAATCAACGTATATATAGATTAAATTCTTAAAATATTGGTTAATGATGTCGGGATAATGATGTTTTTTTGGAGTGTTAATGATGCTTTGTTTCTAAGATATTTTAAAAGGGAAGTCTAATGAAATTTTAGTGCAGAGTTAGTTGAATTAAGCTAGGTTAATTTTGTTATTGTGAATGATTAATTAATAGGTAACCGTCTAACAACAAATTTGATGGTTACCTTTAGCCTAACTGAGACGTGGCCCATTAATTAGTAAGTGGTGGCACAATATTTAAGATTGAGATTTTGGAATTTTATTTTAACTTTCTAATGAGGTTTTTCATTTGATTTGATGATCAAAATGATGAATTATAATAATAACGATATTACACATATTGGAATCAGTAAAAAACTGAGTTGGTGCAGCAAGTGATATATTATAAGGAGATCAGAGGTTAGAGGCCAGTTGGGCTCGTCGCATTGGATTAAACTTATATAATTTACGTATCCTATATGATTTACAAAGGGATATAATTGAAGAAGAACAACAATATTGACACAAAGATCCAAGCACAAGCATGAAAAGAAATTAAATAGGAGTAATTACTATAATATCAAAGCTTCCAAACCTAGGCTTAATGATCCAACGAGCACAACAAAAAGAGAAGCCTTTGGGCAATACAATAGGAATCGGAGGAGAAAGATAGAGTCATT